GCGCCTAAAGCGACTAGCGTATCATTATTTTGGGTAAGGCCGTGAAATTTGCTAAACGACCGATCCCGAAGTCTATACAATTATTAATCAATTATTTAGGGCCCCACAACTTGTGCGTTTTATTGGGCGAGGTTCATCTCATTTATTTTTAAAGGATAATCCTAAAGTGCCTATATTTTTTCTATTAAATTTATCTCTAAAAATAAAAGAGAAAGGGTCCTAATTTATTTACATGCTTACGAGTTGTTATAGTCGGGTTCCGAACTCAATTTGTTAAATCAAGAGTAAACACAACATGGACAGCCCGTTGGCCAACGTGGACTCAGGCCCAACATGTATGGCACAAAACGGGACCTGGGCCATCTCATTCACATGTTACTACCTAGTTACATTATACTAGGCATGCTCACAGTTTGTCAAATTAAAAAAAAACTTGGCAATCTAATTTTAATCCTAAACTATTTACATGCTGAAATTAATCAATAATATCTAGCTAAACCATATTCCTAGAAGTTCCGAAATGGTCTATTCGTTTAATGAGCTAACTGTTGAATGTTTATGAATAGTCTAAATCAGCTAACATGCTTTTTGAGACATGATAATCATCAAACAATAACGAACTAACTGAACAGAGCTACTACACCATTTATTTATTTTTTAGCAATACATAGACAGTTCGTCCACTAAGCTGCTGTCAGATGTTCCATTATATATATTAAACAACTACATGATTCTGATTAGAGGAAGCTAAATAATGTATATATACAACTAAGATTCAGAATATAACTAAGATATATTCAGAACTTCAACTCTTCATTTCATATTCATGCTTCATGTTTCAGCTTACAGTAACCAGCGTGTCAGTTGTGTACCTGATATTGGAAGCAAAAGAAGGGGAAGATTAGTAGAAATGCAGTATCATATAACAACAGCAACACCCCGCAACCAGTAACAACCAGCAACGAGAAACCAGTGACAGATTTTAAAATCAAACAAAAATCCAGCAATAACCAGTGAAGGAGTAGCAAATAACCAACCAAACTCAAAGAACAAATCAAATAAAAATTCAGAAACACCAACAACAATCAAAGGGCAGAAACAAAGTGAGTCTTTTTTAGATTGAAAGACCAGTTAATGTTTAACCCTTAAATTCTGACTCTGTATATCCAGCGTATTCAGAGTGTATATCGGGTGTATACTACTCTCTCCTTTTATTTCCAGAATGTTTTTTTTTCTCAAAGTTCCTTCAAGAATCCGTCCTCCAATCTCTCTTAATATTCAGAAAATCTCCTATTCTCTCTCAATATTTTTGGAATCCTCCCTTTATTTGTGTCAAGCTCCTCTATTTATTTACCAACTTCCAGCATTTAAAATTAAATCCCACTATCTTCTACCCATCCCCCTTTAACTTCCCACTACCTAATGTTTTGTCCCCCACTATATTAAACAATGTATTAATTCCCACTAACACATATCTTTTCCTTATTTAAATCACTTATTGGCCCACTACCGCATGTTTTGTCCCCCACTATATTAAACAATGTATAAATTCCCACCATTATGTCTTGTCCCTCACTACGTATTATTTTAATATTATTTAAATATTATTTAATACTTAGTGGACAGAACACACATTAATTATTTTTTAAGACTCCTTTAAAATCCCGAAAATGCCCTTGAAAATACTACAATTTACCATTCTACCCCTGAAAATACTGCAATTTACCATTCTACCCCATCAGCTATAACCAATTCACCTAATCAATCTAACGAAAATACAGTAGCTATAACCAATTCCTAATCAAATTTCATGAACAAACTTAGGCTAGAAACTTAATATTTTTGACTGAACAATATTTTTAACAACAAACATACTTTCAGATTCAATAACAGTAACAAATTGAACATAACAAACAAGTAGATTCAAATCTCTAAACTCAATAATCAATTGGACTTCAAATTAAATCTAACAATATTACAACCAACAATTTCTATATTAAACTAAACAAGAACATAAAACAAACTGAAGAAATAATCAAAAATGATAAACAACAAACAAGAAAAGAATCAAACATATAATGATTTCAGATCCGAGAATATTAAACGAAATACAGATAGAAATGAAATTTAAACCAACTAACCGGAAATGACAGTGGAGCTGGAGCTTGGAGACGGACTGAAAGATGGTCATCTGAGAAGATGAAGCAACAACAATGGCTGTTGGAGATGGATCGACGGTGAGGCTGGGCTGTGTGAAGGGAGGTGGTCGTTTGGATGAAACTGGTGGTGGTTGCATGGCTGGGATGGTCGTTCATGACTGGAGGTCGACGGGTGGTTGTTCATGGCTGGAGGTCGACGAGGGGGGGAGGGCTCGACGACGAAGAAGACGAAGGAGCTTGGGCAGCAGCTGCCATGGGGGTGAGAGGGTTGTTGGGACATGAAGGGGAAGGGGTAGCCATGGGAGGGAGCTTGGTTTGGAGAAGGAGAAGAAGAGNAACTTAAATCCTAAATGCAAATGCGACATATTTTTATATTTTTTATTAATTTAGAAAATAAACATGCACAGCCAAATGCAAACAATACAAGAAAAATATCACAAAATTCACAACAATTGCAAACAAACAAAAAATTATTTTATTTTTTTGGAATTTTTGGGAGTAATTCTCATATAGGGCAAAAATCACGTGCTTTCTTCCCCTCTTTGTCCGAAAACATGAAGAGTTTTTGTGCAAAGATAAAGTGAGCGATTGTTGCCCATCCGACTACTCCGTGTGAAGCATTTTTTTTTTAAAAAGATTTAACTGAACCTTTGCTTCAAAGGTTTCCTACATATCCCTGGCTAGAAGGGAATCAGGCTAATGTAGTTCGGAAAGTTTTGGTAGCTGGGACTACCATGGGACTGCAATTTTTCTGCTGTTGCATGCTGTTTTTACTACTTGCTGACCTCCTTATTACACCATGCTGAAAGAAAACAAGAAGCTAGACTAGACCATAGTCTATGAATTACAAAATCTTATCTAGATCATGCTCTTGTGTCTCTTGTTGCTTTGATGTCTCGGTGACTCCTCTTGTATTTCTTAACTTCTGATTTGTCTTGTATTCTCCCTTGACTGCCGATCTCGAACTGCTTATTTCCTTTTCGGGAGATTCGCATTATTTTTCCATCGAGTCTTGGACTTCCTTCCTCTGCTGGGGATTCTTGTTGTTTCCTGCTGGGGATTTCGGCTGTATTCCTCTGCTTTACTGACTTGAAATGTATTCCTCTGTTATAT